TATATATATATAATAATATATATATATATATATATATATATATATATATATATATATATTTTACATATAATTGCATATTATTTTTAAGTGATTTTTGTTACCAAGTAATTTTATATAAGATTGTACAAATGAGGCTTCTTTACATTCAGTTAAAGCTGAGAATTGTGTTTTATAACTATTTCGAAGTTTATTTAATAATCTATCAGGATCTCGAGTATTTTTTATAATAATATGTAAAGTTTTCATCTAAAATATAAATAAATAAAATATAATAGAATTAACAATTTTATTATATATTAATATAAAACTTACAGCAGCATCCATTGATTGTCCTAACATTCTGAAAAAATTATAAATTAATTAGAAAATTAATTAAAAAATTATTCACATTATTAATACATACGTTAAAATATCTGTAATTTCATTTATTTGTAATCTTATAGAAAGATATCTTATGTAAACATTCACAGCATCAGGTCTTTCTGCCAATATCCTTTGAACTAAAGATCTTTTAAGAGTTTTTGTAAGAAATAAAATAATCTAAAATATAATTTCTTTTATTATTGTATATAAAAAAAAGAATTCAAAAAATTATAGAAATAAAAAATTACTATTAAAATGGCATTTCCATCGCCATTTATTATCGCTGTATCTAATAAGGCAGTTTTACTGGCAAGTGATTTATATTGTTCCAAAGAATATGGTTGACCAAGTAAAATTTTCCTAAGAGTGATATCTGGTTGTACAATAGCTGCTTCTGGATGAAGATTTTGTAATTTATCTGTTGCTAAAACTATGAAACAAAATTTTCATGTAATGAATACATCTATTTATATTATTATTCAATAAAAATAATGAAAATTCAAGCATATTGCATTGAATATTTTGATCTATATATAACTTTACTGACATACTGCAAGAAAGCGTTTTTTCCGAGATAATAGATAACATAGGCTTAAGTGGTTGATAATCAGTAGAAGTTTTTAAAGATCCTTCTGCTGTTGACGTATTAGAAATACCAGCCCATAATTTATCTGTATCAGTTTTTGATACTCCAAACAATTGATCCACCTATTTTTAATATTATTTTATTAAAAATTATAAAAAATTAGTATTAAAATTACTAACATCAATTTTATTAACTTAACCTCATTATTTTCAAAACAGAAAGATCGCTTTTCACTACTGTACCAAAAATCTTCATCATCTTTAGCAGAAGTCATGATTTTAGTTTTGTATAAATAATCTACGTATTTATTAATTATACTGGAATATCTAATATATTAAATCATAGACGATAAATATGACATAGACCTAATATCTTATGGAATCTTATGTTTCATAAGTTGACGTACCAATTTTAAAAAAATAAATTCTTTTATGCTTTCTATAATTTAAAATAATATAATTCTGAATATAATTTGTTGTTAGAATTATTTTTTAAATTATTTTTTCAATATTAATATTCCAATTCTTAATAATAGAAGAAAATTTCAAAATATATTTATTTCTAAAATAGAAATAATTTGTAATTCTTAAAAATAATTTGTTATACAATTTTCTATACAATTTGTATTAAATAAATTACAGCAAATTAGTATTTGCATTTTTATATTTTTTTTTTTATTTCTATTAAACATAATTTGAGAACCATTGTGCACAACTGCTTTAAATGTATTTGTTTTGGAAGATTTGTCATAGAGATATTTTGGTCAATTTTTAATCGTAAATAATTTTAAAGAAAAAAACTTCACACTCACTGCCATTATTTCATTATATTTTTTTTTTATTTTATTTTGCTTTATGAAAACATTTTTTAAATTTTCTATAATATTGTCTAACATCAATGTAGAACATTTGATCAATTTTAATCATCATAATATGAAAATATAAATATTATCAATAATATAAAAAATATTTTATATCACAAATTAGCACAAATTAGATAATAAAATAATCATATATCATTTTTCTTAAATATATTTATTTTAATTATAAGAATACAAAATTAAAAACAAATGAAATATTACATACCCATAAGATCAATATAATATACAGATATCCTATGTAATTTTATGAAAAATTACAAGAAAAGATATAAAAATATATAAAATATATATATATATATATATATATATACTTATGACATATAAAAATTCAATTAAATAGTATTAAATTTAAAAATTTTTAATCAATGAATTAAGCAAGAAAGACAATAAGGATAAATCAGATATCGAAGCCGTTTCTTCGTGCGTATTATTATTTATGCGAACAAATATAAACAAGGAAAACAAATAATAGAAGAAGATAGAAATAGATTAAAAATTATGAAATCAGCGCCATCTACAGAGTGCCGCAAATGAAACTATATATACAAGGATAGCAAATAGAAAGAAAAAGATAGAGATAAATTAAGAATTGTCTATTAGCGCCATCTCTCGAATATCAAAGGTATCTCTTTGGATGAAGGATAAAACAGAGTCAGAATTAAATATTAGCGCCATCTTTTAAAACTGCCGAAAAAACATACTTGTAAAGTTACTCACAAGATGGTGCTGATAGATAATTCTTATTCTATCTCTATCTTCTTCTTATTATTTGCTATCCTTTATTTATTAGTTTCATTTGCGGCACTCTGCAGATGGCGCTGATTTCACAATTTTTAACCTATCTCTATCTTTCTCCCACTATTTGCTTTCCTTGTCTATAACAGTTCGGCACATCATATATACGAAATTTCACTTGAACTATTGAATACACTTTCATTATTTTTCTTTCAAAACTACAATATATTTTAATCTTTAATATAAAAAATATTAAATTTAAAATTTTTGCTCTTACAATGTATCTCTAAGATGACGATTTCGCGAAACATATTTATATAAACTATTTTACAATAATTTTTATAAATACAATCATACAAATATAAAATGCAATATTATATATATATATATATATATAATATGTACTATAAGATACTTTCTAGTAGTTTTATTTCTGATTTATAATTTGATATTGAAATTTAATCTTAATTTCAATTTTATTCTGCGATTAATATTTTTCATGTATAGAATAAAGAATGCATCAAACGTTAAATCTATTCTGTACCTCGTCTGAGATCGCATGTAAATTTTCTTCTTTTTTTTCCTATATTTCGCAAGTAAATTTTAT